AAGGGACGCCCGGCTCTCCCGCAGCCATAGCCGCGCCGACGATCCGGGAGGTAGCGGAGGGCAGGGAGCTGGACCCGGAGGCGCCGCCGCGACCGCAGCAGCCATGGAGGACGAGATGCCCAAGACTCTGTGAGTCTCGGGCGGCGAGGAGGGAGGCGGGATGGCGGTCGTCCCGGAGGAAGGCCTCGGCCCCGCGCGCGCCCCAGCCCGTCGCTCTCCGTGGACGCCGCGGCGTCCGGCTCTTCTCTCCGAGCCGGCCCCGGTGCTCCGAGCCGAGGCCGGGCTGGGCGCGCGCGCGGCTCGGCGGAGGGGCGCGGCCTGCGGGCGAGGCCGGCGCCCGGACCGCCCGCTGCGTGGCCTGTGGCCGGCCCGGGCTCGCGTGCTCGCGTGCTCGCGCCCTGCGGGGAAGACTCGTGCGCCTCGGAGCGCACTCGCCGCGCCCTCCTTTTGTCCCGCGCTCTCCTTCCCTTTCTCTTTCCCCGCCCCGCCTTTCGAGTCACCGCCTGCTGTCTTTGCAGCCGTCTCGCTTTCGCTCTACTTTTGATTTTTTCGCGAGACTCTTCCTTCCACTTTCTTCTCAGCGATGGCAGCTGTTCTTGCGACGACCGCCTGTACTTCTTTTCAGCGAGGCAAACTTTATTCTCGCCGCTGCCAACTGGGAAAAAGCCAAGTATTTTCCTCTCCTCTGTTGGGCTTGCTTTCTGCAGCCCCCGCGACCCCCAAGTGCTGCTGAAACACGGAAACCTCGCCCAGAGGTGTCCGTCCACTGAGGGGAAGTGGGTTTCCTGCCTTTTCGCCGTCGCTTGCCGCTGTTGTGATTGACACGTTGCCGGACGAGCGGGCGTTCTTGTGAAGGAGCGACTGATCAATAAATGCCTTCACGCAGTTATTCAAGTCCGAGAGTGTCTAGAGTTGGTGTTAGATTATCGAAGCTTGGGGTGTTTTCTTTGTCCTGTAGCTTCCCCCACTGCGTTCTTTGTTTTTCAAAGTATTATCGGCTGAGCTGGTCCTTTGTTGCATTTCTCAGGGAAAAAAAAAACCTCAGTGAGTTCTTGACATCGCTTTTTGTATTTATTCTTGACATATTGGCGCTTTAAGAGCTCTGTGCATTAGAAATGCAATTTTAGGTTTCTTTTGGGGGGGGTCTCTAGATACTAAAGTTGCTCTGAAGTACAAGTGTAATTGTTTTCACCTCCAAAAATGTTTCACTTTTAAGTTGATATTTCTTATCTGTATGGGAAGTGTGGTTACTGGTTACACATGTTTTTTTAATAGATTAATAAGTTTGTTGCTAGTTTGATAATTATGCCTTTAAATGTCTTTTGTTTTTGTGAGGGCGGGGAGTCGTCTCACTCTGTGGCCCAGGCTGGTCTTGAACTCCTAGGCTCAAGAAGTCCTCCCACCTGGGCTGGGATTACATGCGGGAGCCACCACGCCTGGCCAGTATCTTTTATTTTTTATTTATTTTTATTTTTTGAATTGGAGGCTCACTCTGTCGCCCAGACTGGAGTGCAGCAGCCGCTCCCGGCCACCGCAGCCTCGACCTGCTGGGCTCCGGCGATCCTTCCGCCTCAGCCTTCCGAGTTGCCGGAATTACAGGTACGCGCTACCATGCCCGGCTGATTTTTTGATTTATTGTAGAGATGAGGTCTGGCTGCCCAGGCGGGTCTCGAACCCGCGGGCTCAGGCCATCCACTCACCTCAGCCTCCCAGAGGCACGGGATTACAGGCTGAGCCACCGAGCCCGGCTGCCAGTATCTTTTAAATGGAATGCCGCGATTCGGGCATGACCCCTTTTCCCTCTGTGCCTCTTAGCTATTAAGTAGGGCATTCAGCAGCATATCAAGGTGCTGCTTGTCTTTTGTAATGTATTTTTTCTTTTTCTTCTTTTTTTGATTGGAGTCTTACTCTGTCACCCAGACTGGAGTGCAGTGGCTACTCCTGGGTAGCTGGACTACCATGACCAGCTAATTTTTTTTTTTTAATTTATTGTGGAGATGAGGTCTCACCAAGTTGCCCAGGCGGGTCTCGAACCCGCAGGGTCAGGCAATTCACTCACCTCTGAGCCACCGAACCTGGCCTAATTTTCTTTCTTTCCTTCTTTCTTTCTTTCTTTTTTTTTTTTTTTTTTTTGAGTCGGGTCTCATTCTGTCTCCCAGAGTGCACTGGCACATTCAGCACACTGCAATCTTGACCTCCTGGGCTCAGGCGGTCCTCCCCTTCGGCCTCCTGAGAAGCTGGGACATGCCACAATGCCCAACTAATTTTGATTTTTTGTAGAGATGGGGTCTTGCTATGCTGCCCAGGCCAGATTTTGGATGTATTTTGAAAATAGAGCAACAGGAACTACCAATGTATTGGATATGGCACATGAGAATAAAGTCAACAATAAGTGGGCTTATTTACAAATGTGTAATAACTGTCATCTAAAATGTTATTAGTTTATTGCAGAATATAAATAAAAATGAAAACAGTCTTGAGTATGGCTATCCTTTAAGATGTCTATAGGGGCCGGATGTGGTGGCTCAGGCCTATAATCCCAGCACTTTGGGAGGCTGAAGTGAGAGGATGGCCTGAGCCGGCTGGTTCTAGACCCAGCCTGGGCAACTTGGCAAGACCTCATCTCTACAATAAATCAAAAAATTAGCCAGGCATCATGGCGCGTGACTGCAATTCCAGCTTCTTGGAAGGCTGAGCCCAGCAGATCGAGGCTGCAGTGGCTGGGAGCGTGCCACTACCCTCCAGCCTGGGTGACAGAATGAGACTCCAATTCTTAAAAAAAAGATGTCTTTAGGTATAGTATTAGATACTTTTGTTCTAGCTGGTTTACCAAGTGAAGGAGGTGCTAGCTAATAATAAATAATACCATTTCAGCCATCTCTTGCAACAGACTATCCTTTGTGAAGAATAGAGAGTTGTTAAATAGTAATAAGGTTAGGGCCGGGCGCGGTGGTTCAAGTCTGTCATCTCAGCACTTTGGGAGGCCAAGGCAAGAGGATTGATTACCTGAGCTCAGGCAGCCTGGGGCAACTTGGTAAGACCTCTCTCTTCTCTACAATAAATAAAAATAAAAAAATAAGCCAGGCATGGTAGCACACATCTGTAGTTCCAGCTACTTGGAAGGCTGAAGCAAAAGGATCGCCTGAGCGCAGCAGGTTGAGGCTGCAGTGGCCGTGAGCGTGCCACTGCACTCCAGTCTGGGCGACAGAGTGAGACTCTGACTCAAAATAATAATAAAATTAGGATGCTGATGAATAGGATATATACAAGCACTTAATACTCTACGCTATTTCTTTTTTTGAGTTGGAGTCTCACTCTGTCGCCCAGACTGGAGTGCAGTGGCCGCTCCCGGCCACCGCAGCCTCATCTGCTGGACTCCGGCGATCCTTCCGCC